AAAGGCATCAATGCTTATCATGACCATGCACTTAGTTTGTTCAATAAATACCCAGGAGCAGAGAATAAGATTTTCAAAGAATTAATGCATTTTCACTATATAATCAATAGAGCCCAGCCCTTACACCAGAACCCCTGACCAAAGGGCCATGAAATTCAAAATTTTGGAAAAAGAATCAATGCTTATCATAACCATGCACTTAGTTTGTTTAAATAATACCCAGGAGCAGAGAAAAAGATTTTCAAAGAATTAATGCATTTTCACTATTTAATCAATAGAGCCCCATCCTAACACCAGAACCCCTGACACAGGGACCATGAAATTCACAATTTTGAAAAAAAAAGCATCATTGCTTTTCATTACCATGCACTTAGTTTGTTTAAATAATACCCAGGAGATAAGAAGATTTTCAAAGAAATAATGCACTTTCACTATATGATCTATATAGCCCCACCCTACCACCGGAACTCCTGATCCTGGGGTCATCAATTTCACAATTTGGGAAGAGGCAACAATGTTCATCATAACTATGTACTTAGTTTATCTAATACCCATGAGCAGAGAAGAAGATTTTTCAAAGAATTAATGCATTTTCTCTATATAATCAAAAGAGCCCTGTCCTAACACCAGAACCCCTGACCCTGGAGCCATGAAATTAACAATTTTTGGAAGAGGCACTCTTGCTCATTATAACTATGTACTTAGTTCATTTAATACCCAGAAGCAGAGAAGATTTTCAAAGAATTAATGCATTTCACGGTATAATCATTTGAGCACTGCCCTAACACCAGAACCCCAGACCCAGGGGCCATGAAATTTACACTTTGGGAAGAGGCACTCTTGCTCTTCCTTACTATGTACTTAGTTACCCAGTTTGTTTAATACCCAGGAGCAGAGAAGCAGATTTTCAAAGAATTAATGCATTTTCACTATATAATCAATATAAAATCAACACCAGAACCCCTGACCTGGGGCCATGAGTTTCACAATTTTGGTAGAGGGTCCACGAAATTCACAATTTTTGTTCCCCTTCACCCATAGATGCTATATGCCAAAATTCGTTGAAATTAATTAAGTGGCTTCAGAGAAGAAGCTGAAAATGTTCAAATTTTAACGCACGACGGACGACAAAAACGGATAGCAGTAGGTCACCTGAGTCACTCAGGTGACCTAATAAAGCCTTGAAATTCCAAAAGTAGGTCAGCAAGGCAACAAGTGACAAAGTTTGATAATTCCAAGCCAATTAGTATCTGAAATATTTAAATTTAGCCATGATGTTTAAAACAAGAGGCCCAAGGGCCTTGAATCACTCTTCTGATAAACTGTACAACCTTCACTTCTATTTGAAGCCAATCCTGTATATTTAGATAAACCCTTGAAATTCCAATTCACACTCCAAGAACCCAAGATGATTCTAAGCCAATTAGTACCTGAGAGTTGGTCATGGTGACCTACTTCTCACTTGTCATTCTCTGAGGACCCATCAACTAAGTTTGATGATTCCATATAAGCCAATTAATACCTAATATATTTTTTTAAATTATAACCACAAAATTTTATAAGAAGGTCAAAGTGACCTACTTTTCAGTTGTTGTACTCCAAGGACCCAAGATGCATCAACTGACAAAGTTTGATGATTCTAAGCCAATTAGTACCCGGAAATATTTAATTAAAACCATAAATTTTTAAAAGTTGGTCACGGTGACCTTCTTTTCAGTTGTCGTACTTCGAGGACCCAAGATACATCGACTGACAAAGTTTGATGATTCTAAGGGAATAAGTACCGAAAATATTTAACTAAAGCCATAAATTTTTTAAAAGTAGGTCATGGTGACCTACTTTTCAGTTGTTGTACTCCGAGGACCCAAGATGCATCAACTGACAAAGTTTGATGATTCTAAGCCAATTAGCACCTGAAATATTTAATTATAGTCATATAAATTGAAAAGTAGGTCATGGTGACCTACTTTTCAGTTGACCTTTTTTGAGGAACTTACAAAGTTTTATGACCAAAGGCCTTAAAATGTTCAAATTATGCCTCTAAAAACGCTTTGAAATCTAATGCCTGCAAAGTTCAAAAAGTAGGTCACTGTGACCTACTTTTTAATAAATATGTTTTATGGCCCCAAGATGCATCATCTTGCAAGATTTAATGATTCTAAACCTCTCGGTATTCGAATTAATGACCTTAATTGTTTTGAAAAAGATTAGCCATAAAGTTCAAAAAGTAAGTCAAGGTGACCTACTTTTTAGTTGACATACTTCGGGGACCCAAGATACATCAACTGACAAAGTTTGATGATCATAGGCCTTAAATTGTTCAAAATATGCCTCGAAATCATTTTGAAAAAGAATAGCCGCAAAATTTAAAAAGTAGGTCACTGTGACCTACTTTTGAGTCAACATGATATGAGGTCCTTAGATGCATCAACTGACAAGATTTGATGATCCTAGTCTTTATAGTAAGCAAAATATCAACATTTTAATAAAATGTAATTTTTGGTCAACTTTGAAGTGACCTTGAGACCATGCCTTTTGCCCCAGCGTAAATCCCTGTGCAAATTTTAATCTACAACATATCCTCATCCTTTTTTGTAAGTTTGGTGATAATCTGTCCAGTGGTTCTTGAGAAGAAGATTTGTTAGCAACCAGTACTTTTGTTTCTATTTTCCTAATTATCTCCCCTTGTTTAAGGGTCACAACCCTAGTTTTAGTATAACAGGGAGCCGTGGGCCAAGGATACCCTGTGACAAATTTGACAATAATTGGCCGAGGGGTTCTTGAGTTATGGCCCATATTCTAAAAAGTTTACGCACACAGCCTTTGGCTCAGAAAAGCTAAAAATGAAAGAAAAAGTGAGCAAGTTCACATACCCCACGCTCCCCAAAAAAATCAACACGTAATGATTCGCACAGTGCACTTTAAATACACAGTATAATTCAAAAAGGGGCATTATTTGCAAAAAATCATCACATCAAAACTTCTTGCATATAAGGACATTCAAATCTTTGTACGTTACAAATTTAATTGGGCTGAAGTTTCTAGATAAATAATGGAATCAAAATTTCTTGGTAATATACAAATCTATACATTATGTCTGAAATACCTACAAAGTTTCAGGAAATTCAGTGCAGTAGTTATGCTGACAAACTGTTATTTAAATTCCTCAGTGAATTCGATTTGTTAATGAGTGCAAGTCCATGCCGAACACATGACAATTTACACATTTATATAATTGATGGAAACAAAATTATGATGTAGTCATATGAATTTGTTTATATACTGTTCTTATGAAATTATTTAACTCAAGGCAAAGCACCAATTGGTGGTGGTGGTGGGGGGGGGGGGGATGAGAACTATCCAAGATTTTGTGTGTGTGTGTGTGCTAAATCATTAATATTTTGATCTCAAAATCAATAGGGGTCTTTTAAGGTCATAAAATATTTCACATAAGATTTCATTACAAAAGCTTATTCCAGTGGATTTCCTTATTACCTAGCTGGAAAGTTTCTTCAATAATATGCAAAACTCTTAGGGCAAAAATAATGGAATCGGAATTTCCTAGTAATATGCACATCTACGCACTGTGTACTAAATATCTGCAAAGTTTGACCAAATTCTGTGCAGCGGTTTAAGAGGAGTTGCGCTGACAAACTGTTCATCTCCATGTTCAAGATATGGCCAAAAATCTAAGTTGAAAAGTGCAGAAATTCCCAGAAAAAATAAAGGAATTGGAAATTCCTTGTAATACGCACATCTACACATTGTGTCCTAAATATCTGCAAAGTTTGACCATATTCTGTGCAGCGGTTTAAGAGGAGTTGCGCTGACAAACTGTTCATCTCTAGTTCAAGACATGGCCAACAATCTAAGTTGAAAAGTGCCGAAATTCCCAGAAAAAATAAAGGAATTGAAATTTCTTGGTAATATGAACATCTAAGCATTGTGTCCTATATATCTGCAACGTTCGACAAAATTCTGTGCAGCGGTTTATGAGGAGTTGCACTGACAAACTGTTCATCTCTATATTCAAGATAAGGCCAAAAATCTAAGTTGAAAAGTGCAGGAATTCCCAGAAAAAAAAGGAATTGGAATTTCCTGGTAATATGCAGATCTACGCATTGTGTCCTAAATATCTGAGAAGTTTGACGAAATTCTGTGCAGCAGTTTATGAGGAGTTGCGCTGACAAAAAAACAGGACTGACGGACTGACTGACTGATGGATGGGGCAAAAACATTATACCCCCCACAACTTGTTGCGTGGGGTATAAAAAGTAGGTCACAGTGCCTAAATTTTTGGTTGATACACTCCGAGTACTCAAGATGCATCAACTGACAAAACTTGATGATTTTAAGCCAATTAGTAACTGAAATAGCCATCAAATTCCAAAAGTAGGACACAGTGACCTACTTTTTGGTTGAACACTCCAAAGATTCAAGATGCATCAACTGACAAATTTTGGTGATTGTAAGCCATCTGAAATATTTAAATTAAGCCATGAAATTGCAAAAGTAGGTCAAGGTGACCTACTTTCTGGTTGACACACTCCGAGGACTAAAGATGCATCAACTGACAAAGTTTGATGATCCTAAATTTCAAAGTGTCCCAAATAAGATCGCAGAATATTAACTGGCAAAATTGGAAATATGCAGCTTATGTCATTTCCATCTATTACAGTCAAAATATTTTATGATAGGCAATGGAATGGGCATGTACAATTTGATACAGATGTCCGAGAAAACATTGGATTGAAATTCTAGTTTGAAATTCATTTTTGATTCAATTACATACCAAATATGGTTTGACAATAAGACAATGGTATTAAGTCACCCTAGTGATACAGGTGACCTGATACTTGGTGATAAAAAATTCATAATTATTTCATTTATTTGAATTATTTCAATGGTAATTGTTTTTCATATATACATTTACCTACAGACATGATGTAATTTTTCTTTAAACATATATAATTTGCACATTTACAAAAATAACGTAAAAATACACTATATCTCTCTATATTCCTAGACTACTCTGGATATATCCAATCAAGGGCTTTCATTGTAACTTCATAACCCAGGAAACATGCCTGCAATAGACAAAAAATCTTCACTGAATAATTTGAATAGGTTCCGTACAAAGTTTAAACTTCTGAACATTTTCAGAGTAATGATCGCAGCAATGCAAATGTAATAATGACCATTTTAAATAGCTGAAGACCTAATCTCTTAAATACAGGATAAACATATTTTTAAAATCTGCTATAATTGCATATGTTGATATGGAAAAATAATATTTAAAAGTAATTATTTAATTCATTTAATTTTATAAATCATACATTCAAAAATGAAAGTAATTATATGTTGAAATAAGATCCATGTAACATTTACCAAGGACTAAATGTGATATTTCTTATTGGTTGGCAATGGATGCTCTTGTTTAAATACTGCAAAGGGATTTCAAAGTTTCTCTCTGTATGTTTAAGTCTAGTTTTGAATAGCACATTTTTATATAACTGGTGCTAAATTTTTAAAGGCATTGTTACAACGCAAAATGCAATAAACTGGGATCATTGCATTTTGCATTACCGTATATACTTGCCTATAAGTGGGTTGTATTTTCTAAGCTTAAATTAGAGGGATTGACTCGCTAAAATATCAATCTTTTTTATAACTCACGTATAAGTCGGATAAAGAGTTTTGGACCAAAGTTTACTCCCCAAAAAAACCCCTTATAGGCGAGTATATACGGTATTATATTTTGCGTCAAGATCAATGCAGAATGTAATAACACACAAGAGGTCCATGGACCACAGCGCTCACTGAGCACACTGGTTAGGAAGTCGGATAAAGAGTTTTGGACCAAAGTTTACTCCCCAAACTTTAACCTTGGCAATAACTTTTGAACAATTGGTGCTAGGGCTTTAATACTTCAAATGTGGAATCCTGATAAGACCTTTCTTTGGGTACCAACAACTTTGACCCTTTGACCTTGGAGTTTGACCTACTTTTGGAAAACTTTAACCTTGGCCATCACTTTTGAACAATTGATGCTAGGGCTTTCATATTTCACATGTGTAAACCTTGTGAAAATACCTTCCTTTGGATGCCAACAACTTTGACCCTTTTGACCTTGATATTGGAGTTTGACCTACTTTTGGAAAACTTTAACCTTGGCCATAACTTTTGAACGGTTGGTGCTAGGGTTTTCATACTTCACATTTGTAATTCTTGTGACAAGACCTTTCTTTGGATTCCAACAACTTTGACCCTTTGACCTTGGAGTTTGACCTACTTTTGGAAAACTTTTACCTTGGAAATAACTTTTGAACGATTGGTGCTTCAGCTTTCTTATGTCACCTGTGTATTTCTTGGGAGAATGCCTTTCCTTGGGCATCATTAATTTTGACCATTTGTCCTTGATCTTGATGTTTAACATACTTTTGAAAAAACTTTAACCTTTTCCATATCTACTCAATGATTGCTATTGGGCTTTCATATTTCACAGGTTTATTCCTCGAGATAACACCTTACTTTGGGTACCAACATATTTGATTTGCATTTAAGTAACCTTTGCTATAAGTTGCCATACGGGGGCATCAGTGTTTCACAAACACATCTTGTTTTCTTATGTACAGTAAAACTCGGTTATAACGAAGTCCTGGGGATCTGTGATTTTAATTCGCTATATCCGTAATTTGCTATATCCGTATGACGAATTCGTATAACTATATATAGCAAATTCGCAATATATACGTTTTCCTTCAAGTATTGCTACCGAATATGTTAGGGAAGCAATTATTACAAAACATGCCTTGGATAACTAAGGTTTTATTATGAATTGAATTTCATATACAAATACTTACCAAAAATAAGTCAGTTCAATATATCAAATTTTGAGATCTTTAAAAATTTGCTATAAAAGATGTCAATTTCATTATTTTTAACCTCTACGGGACTCAAAACCAGTTTGCTATATCTGTAAATTCGTCATAAAAGAGTTTGTTATAACTATAAAATTTAACAAAGAATTTTGCTGGGGATCCCGAAAAACTTTGCTACATCTGTGAATTCGCTATATCCGTGTTCATACTAAATGAGTTTTACTGTATTCCTATGTAAAACTCTGACTGGCCATTGGCCCCACCCTACCCATCGTAAATTTGAACAAATTTGAATCTACACTACGTGTGGATGCTCCTATAATAATATGACTAATCATGGCTTTGCTGTTCTTGAGCAGCAGATTTTTTCAAGATGATTCCTATATATTCTTATGCAAAACTTTGACCCTCTGTTGTGCCCCAACCCCTTGGGGGTCATTATTTGAACAAACTTGATTGCACAATACCTAAGGTTGCTTCTGTATATATATGACTAATAATAATGGCTTAGTTGTTCTTGAGAAGAAGATTTCAAAGATATTTCCTATGTAATGTGTGTGATCATGTTCTTACAAGGGACATATATATAGGTTTTCCTTTTACTTTGTCTGAGTTAATGATTGGACAGCTATGTCTGAGGGTATATCACATAGTAATTAAATTTTCTCTTTTATCTAGAGATTGGGGACTGGGTAAGGTACTACTTGCACCGTGTTTCTCCCTAGGTTCCCATTAATAGATAAGAACCAGTTGTCTCAATCCTCTTCAGATTTACTACACCCAGAACTTAAGTACTCAACAAAGATTGCATTGAAGTCTATGGAGCAATTTTTTAAAAATAAAAATTCAAATAATAAGAATATCAATAAATACTGTAGTGAAAACATAGGCAATCAGAGAATACAGAGCTCACCTCAACAAATGTTGTCTTTAAGTAAGATAAAGTCCCACACTAAACTAATAATCTAGTTGTGTGCATCCCTAGATACATTTATGCAATTTTGGTCTGATAGGGCTTGCAGTTACTTGGGAATGGACTTATCTAAAAACTTTAAACTAGTCACTCATGCAGAAAGTGTAAGTCAAATCCAGCATCTGAAGCAAGTTTGAGAGAGTTTGTCCCTTGATGCATCATCCATGCAAGTTTGTTTCAGATAGATACATAATTAATTGGAAATGAGATCTGCTCCAAAAACTTTAACCTGGTTACTCATCCCGAAAATATAGGTCAGATCCAGCATCCAAAGCAAGTCCAATAGTGTGCATCCTTAGATGTATCATCCATGCAAGTTTGGTCAATATAGGGCTTATACTTACTTGGAAATGAGATTTGCTCCAAAAGCTTGAACCTGGTCACTCATCTGGAAAATATAGGTCAAATTCAGCATCTGAAATAAGTCCAGTAGTGTGCATCCTTAGATGTATCATCCATACAAGTTTGGTCAACATAGGGCTTATACTTACTTATAAAGGAGCTCTACTCCAAAAACTTTAATCTGGTCACTCATCTGGAAAATATAGGTCAGATCCAGCATCCAAAGCAAGTCCAGTAGTGTGCATCCTAAGATGTATCATCCATTTAAGTTTGGTCAATATAGGGCTTATACTTACTTGGAAATGAGATCTGGTCCAAAAACTTTAACCTGGTCCAAAAACCTTAACCTGCTCCAAAAACATTAACCTGGTCATTCTTTAGCAGAAACTGCAGCATCTGAAACCTTGACTGGTACAATGAAATACACTAGAAGCATCCTCCATGCATCTCTGATTGATATAGGGCATAGAAGTACTTGAAAAGAAAACTGCTCCAAAAACTTTAACCTGAGATGCCATTCTTGAGAAGATTTTAAAAGATATTTCTTATATATTCCTATGTAAAACTTTGACCCCCTCTTTTGGCCCCATCCCATCCCCAGGGGTTATGATATGAACAAATTTGAATCTAGAGTATGTAATGAAGCTTTTACGTAAGATTCATCTCAGTGGTTTTTGAGAAGAAGATTTTTAAAAGATGCCACCAAATTTTTATGAATTCTTAATTATCTCCAATTGAAAGAGGGTGTGGCACTTACTGTGAACAAACTTGAAATTGGATCAGTGGTTCTTGAAAAGAAATTGAAAATGTGAAAAATTTACAGACGACAGACAGACGCCGCACACTCTTTGATCAGAAAAGCTCACTCGAGGCTTCGGAAACTTTTTAGGCTAATTACATTTTGCATTATTACAGATTGCATTGAGATTTATGCAGAATGTATTATAATGCAAAATCAGACTTTTTTAATATGATTTTTGGATTATTACATTTTGCATCATTATATTCTACCTTGATCTTGACACAAAGTGTAATAACGCACTGTTTGATTTTTATCTTTTGCACCATTTAATTTTGTGTTGAGGAAAACATAAAATGTAATCAAAACAAAATGTAGTATCACAAATTATAATAATTTTTTTTGTAGTATGTTGAACACAAAACTGATTTTAAACATACGTTTTACATTATACAATTAATTACCCCTTATGAAGTCGACATGGTGAAAAAAGGACCCGAAACCTGGCCAATGAGATGACCTGACCTGACTGAGGCTCTGTAGCAGCCAAGGTCAGGTCAGGTCAGCGAGTGGGCCAGGTCAATGGTCCATATTCCACCATGTTAAACTCATAACGGGTAATCAATTGTTTTATTATACCGATATAAGTTAAGACAATTTTTGTAGGCTTAATTACTAAAACAATAGGCCCAAGGGTCTTGAATCACTCTTCTGATCAACTGTACAACCTACCACATCTATTTGAAGCCTCTAAGTGTCCTGTATATTTAGATAAGCCTTGAAATTCCTAATGTAGGTCATCATGACCTACATTTTAGATTAAACACTCCAAGAACCGAAGATGATTCTAAGCCAATTAGCACCTGAGAATAGGTCATGGTGACCTACTTATCACTTGTCATTCTCTGAGAACCCAATATGCATCAACTAATTAAGTTTGATGATTCTAAGCCAATTAATACCTAAATTATTTAATTATAACCATAAAATTTCAAAAGTAGGTCACAGATTTAGGTAAAGGTGACCTACTTTTTAGTTGACTTACTATGAGGACCCAAGATGCATCAGCTGACAAAATTTGATGATCATAGGCCTTAAATTGTTCAAAATATGCCTTTAAATCATTTTGAAAAAGAATGGCCGCAAAATTTA